GTCCTTGTACATTTCATAATAATTGACTTTTTTTTGTCAGGCTGCTTTTTGAAATCTGTTCATCTCTTTTATCTTGTCATTTCTTCCATTTTCTTTAGCTATTCTCCATTCAAGGGCAAGTTTCAGAGTCTCCTCTGACATTTGTTTTGGTCTTCTTTTCCTGTTTTTTTTTAATGACCTTTTGCTTTCTTCAGTGTGGTTGTGTTGATGTCATGCCACAGTTCCTCTGGTTTTCAGTCATTGGTGTTCTGTGCATCAAGTCTATTTTTTACATAGTCTCTAAATTCAGGAGGGATATAGTCAAAGTCATATTTTGGCTCTTGTGTACTTCTTTTAATTGTCTTCAGCTTCAACTTGAATTTCCATATGAGCAGCTTAGCTTAGCTGGCCTGCCCCACATACTCCAACCCCCACCTGCTGCACCTAGCTTGCTTGCCCTGCCTGCTCCGGGCACTCCAACACAATAAATCATAGGTATTTGATTTTTCTTTGGTCTTCCTTATTCATTGTAGAGCTTTCACGTGCCTAGGAGCAATTGAAAATACCATGGCTTGGATTTAGGCCACCTTAGTCTTCACAGTGACATCTCTGCTGTTCAACACCTTAAAGAAATCTTTTGTAGTGGATTTGCCCAGTGCAGTGACATTTGATTTCTTGACTGCCTCTTTGATGAGTGTTGATTATGGTTCCAAGTAAAGTGAAATCCCTGACAAAATCAATCTTTTTTCCATTTATCATGATGTTTGTTGTCCCAATTGTGAGGATTATTTATTTATTTATTTATGTTGAGATGTAATCCATATTGCAGAGTGTAGTCTTTGATCTTCATCAGTAAGTGCTTCAAGTCATCTTCAGTTTCAGCAAGCAGGGTTGTGCCCTCTGCATATTCACATTTGTTAATGAGTCTTCCTCTAATACTGATGCCATGTTCTACTTTAATATGGTCCAGCTTCTTGGATTATTTGCGCAGTACAGAGATTGATCAAGTATAGTGATAAAATACAACCGCGACGCATGCCCATCCTGATTTTAAGACATGTTTTATTTCCTTGTTCTGTTCAAATGACTGTCTCTTGTTCTTTGTACGTGTTCCTCATGAGCACAATTAAGTGTTCTGGAATTCCCATTCTTTGCAACGTTATCCATAATTTGTTAAGATCCAGTCAAAGTCCTTTGCATAGTCAGTAAAACACTGGTAGTCATCTTTTTGGTATTCTTTGCTCTCAACCAAGATACATCTGACAGTAGCAATGGTATCCCTCATTCCACATCTTTTTATGAATCTAGCTTGCATTTCTGGAAGTTCCTGTCATATTGCTGCAACCAATTTTGAATGATTTTCAGCAAAATTTTATTTGTTTGTCATTTTGATGATCTTGTTTGATAACATCCCCATTCTTTTGTATCCCTTTTCTTTGAAATGAGCTGTTGGTTGGTCAAATTTCCTAGCGTAAATGAATAATCACCTCCAGTGCTACACCTGTGTTTTGAAACATCTCAGTGGGTATTCCATCAATTCCTGGAGCCTTGTTTTTCTCCAATTCCTTCAACGCAGCTTAGAGTTCTTCCTTAAATACCATTGCTTCTTGGTCGTATGCTGTCTCCTGAAATTGTTAAACATCTCTCTTAGTCTCATAGCTCCACTGAAACCTGTCCACCAGTGGTGACCCTGATGGTATTTGAAATGCTGGTGGCATGGACTCTAGTCTCACAGCAACACACAAGCCCCCACAGTACAGCAAACTGACAGATGGGTGGTAGCCTTAACAGCTATATACACCATTAAATATTAAA